CATCAGCAAATACTGCAGTGATTAGTTAGAATCTGTATTATTCCTTATATATATGTATATGTATGTATTCTCTGTTACAAAGGGTGAAGACAAATAGGGAAACATTTCAATGTAAACCATTTATGAATTGGAAGTGATGTTGCTTTTAGTTATCTTTGTAAATAAGGTAATTAGAATGGTATGAAAGATAATGTGATTATTGCAGGGGTGTTTTTAAATCTTGGGTATAAATTCTAGCGTAAATTCTAGTTTATCAAGACTAGTTTTTAAGGGATCTGCCTTTGAGGGTATTTTTTGTTGTTTTAAGGGGAAGGAGGTTAATCACAAAGTGTATGGGTTTGGGTTACTTCTTGTTTTCATTTTTCTGTCCAGAAGAATTTCATAGAGCTTTACCAGGCTGTGCAAAGTAAAATTCTTCTCAGGCAACATTTGCTTTTTAAGTAATCATGAAGAGCAAGGTTGTTAAAGCAGAAGGTGTTATTTTTCTGTTACCTGTCTTCCAAGATCCAGCGTCCCTGTCTCCCACTCGCCATCCAGCAGATGCCATCTGTCATCTAAGCTGGTCACTACTAATAACAAGGAGACTGTCTCCTGACAGCCAGCACTGTGTACAATCACTCAGGAACCAGCGGATCTGCAAAGACCTACAATCAAAAGCAAAGCCCTGTTTTCCTTTTAATAAAACATTTACCCTCACCTCCAATATAAACACATTAAAGGAATATTAAAAATGTTTAAAATCATGTACTAATAAATTCATTGTATGTTAGAATTGCAATAGAAAGGAGAGAAACATTTAGCTAGTAATGTATCTGGAAACTCTGAATGTCCTATGTGAGTGAGTAATAGATTTTAATAGCATGCTTTAAAGACTGATGAATATAAAAGCAGAAGTTTTGAGTTTCTTACTGCTTTCAAAACTGTATCCTAGCTTAGTGATACAAATGACTGCAACTTTTCTAAATCATTAAATTACTTGGTTTGGTAGAGTGAGGCATGGAACAATCTGGCGTCTTCTAAGTTGTAAAGTAGTGATGGCAGTGAAGTTGTAACTGAAACTTAAGCTGATCTTCCTTTTTGGTATATTATCTGTTGTGCCAACTCTTGAGATTACTTGCAAAATGTGGCTATAAGTTTTAGTATTTTGTGGAGCAGAGGGATATTTTTTAAATGTGCTTATGGAAAGGACCCAATAAATGAATATTCCTAACTTACTAAATAGAATGATTTTATGGTATCCATTAAAAAGGGTAAATGTCTTCCCCTTGCCCTGAAAATCATTCTATAATTACCAAGATATGCTAGGAGTAGGATTATGATTCAAAGAAGGATCCCAAATTCATAAAGCAATAATGAAAACCTAGTTCCCCCTCCAAAGTTTTAACTTTAAAACTGAATTCCTAGGCTTAATTGTATTTTGAATTTGCTTCTTAAGTACTTAAAATTTGTTTAAACTGGTACTTTATTATTTTTAATTAAAGATTTTTGGCAAGTGCCTTTTCCCCTTACAGACAGTTGGAATATCAGTTGACTAATATTGCAAGCTCTTGTAGGGGGAAAAAGGAGCTTAATTAAATAAAATTCTGTACTAAACTTTAGGAAAAGATGTCTTGCATCAGTCTTAATAGTCATAAAGGTTACGTTTAAAGACTGAAGAAACTTTTGCTTACTGCCTTTCCCTATATAAATATTATTTATAATGAAAGCTAATATAGGAACAAGACTCAAATCCATGAAAATCCTTAGTGAATATATTCTTGATCATTAATAGCCCATTATATTTTCATCTGTATTTGCCGTTAAAATTTTATTTTCATTTATACCTTTAGGATAATTGAATTTATCTTAGTAAATCTGTTAGATCATTGCTACAGGTTTTAAGAAAGGAAACTTCCAGTAGCACATGCCAGAGGTTCACATTTGGGCTAAGTTTCAGTGTTTTTAAAACAAGTTGTAGCTGTATTGGTCATGCAAGCAGAGGAGATGTGCAGTACTCATGTTTCCTGTAGCACATAAGGGACCTGTCCTCATCTTGAAAGTTTGTTGCTTTAAAAGCAAGTATCTCTCCATAAATATTATGGCCTTCCATTTTCTTTATACATTTTTTAGGATCCACTTGCGCATGTAGTTGAGACCACTGTCTCTCTAAATATAGCACTTTTCAATTCTCTCTAAAGGAATACTTACGTACTACTATCACATGTTGTAAATTTTCATGTAATAGTGTTTTCTGTGACTAAACTCCATTTTGATTGGCAGCTAAGACTTTTTTTTCCTGTGGCTTTAATTTATCTAAGAGGTCTTTGCATATAGATGAAATGTATAATTTGCCTGGCGGACTATTTGCGTTGTGTGGCCTTAGTTTGTTTATTGACATTAACGAGTGTTTTAAAAAGGTTTTTAATGAATAGTCTTAAATCTAAATTTGTGTGGATAATAATCCTTTTAACACAGTGCTTTTTTGTAGCTGTCTAAGTGTGTTAAATTGTTAAGCTATTTCTTTGTAAAATAGGACAATGGAATGCATAGAGGTTTTTTTTTTTTTTCCTGTAAAGTATTTTTTTAATAAACAAAGTCTGATTTGTCCTTTACTGATGTTTTATCACAAAAATGAATAGCATATGTGAATTCTGGACACCTGGAATCTGTTGTTTAAGAGAACTAATTCCTCTCCATCCCCTATTATTTAAGAAAATCTTTCCTATAATAGAGGTCATAGGTGCTTGGGGAAAATTCCATCCATATTGAGATGCAACTGATTTTTCGGAAGAAGAGTTACACTTGACATTTGTGGCAGTTACACCTCTTGTTACTTAAATTGGTTTATATCTGCTTAGGAGAGGAATAATTTTTATTCTGGTGATGTAGATACTCTTGAACGGAGTATTACTGCAAATGGTGTACAGACCTCTTGGAACTCAGTGATGTATGACACAACAAAATGGATTTTTTTTCCTCCTGTTTTTGTTGAGATGCCCTTCTCTTAACTGAGGCACCTGTGCTAACCACAGATTGCCCTTGGTTCTGGAGAGGAAGAGAACTAACATTTATTGAATAAATGCCTTGGTTCTGAGAGGATCTGCTGTATTCACAGCGGTTAGCAAGGTAATTCCTTCCCTGATGGAACACGGGCAAGGAAACAGACGTGTTGAGTTGAATAAATGAAGCCCACATCGGAATCTGAATGCCGGTGTAGGTTCAAAGCGCCTACCTTTCGAGAAACCCGGCAGAACTGTAATGTTTAGCTGAAAGGAAGGGAGGAAGTTGTCAAGGAGCAAAAACTGCAGCAGGAAACCGCCGCCAGTGCGTGCGACATTGAGGTCTGGATGGAAGGACTTTCCAGTTAGTTGGGGGTGTTTTATCCAAGTGTCTGGATTTCCGAAAGGGTAGATACTGTCTTAGTTTTTACCCGACTCACACATGGCACACACACAGGGAAAGTACAGAGAGGAGGAGAAGGTGCCTTTTGCTTTATTAACTTTCCTTAATACTAGCCTATCCTCAAGTATTCAATTCTGGGCGCAACTCTTCCTTTCTCCTTTTACCAGCCTGCTTGTATTCCTTTTTTTATTTTTATTTTTTGACAGAGTGGACAGAGAGAGAAAGGTCTTCCTTTGCCGTTGGTTCAACCTCCAATGGCCGCCGTGGCCAGCGGGCTGCGGCCAGCGCCCCGCGCTGATCCGATGGCAGGAGCCAGGTGCTTCTCCTGGTCTCCCATGGGGTGCGGGGCCCAAGCACTTGGGCCATCCTCCACTGCACTCCTGGGCCACAGCAGAGAGCTGGCCTGGAAGAGGGGCAACCGGGACAGAATCCGGCGCCCCAACCAGGACTAGAACCCGCTGTGCCGGCGCCGCAAGGCGGAGGATTAGCCTAGTGAGCCACGGCGCCGGCTTGAATTCCTTTTTAAAAAATGTTTTGGCCCATGATATTTGTGCTTCCTGGGCGGGGGCCTTGCTTGCGCTCAACCTGGACGCCGTTGCCGCGCCACCTCCCTTTACTCTAATTTGAGAAGTCTGTGCGCCCACGGGCCTCAGCTGTGGTCGTCCTCTTCCCTCACCCTCCAGCACCGGAGGAGTGCCGGGGCCGCCGCCTGCGGCCCCTGCCAGACCTCTGGGTCCGGCCAGCGTGAGCTCAAACATCCCTTCCTCCAGCCAACGCCGAGAACCTTATCCGCGCTCGTTGCCGGGCCCCACGGCCCGCTGGCGCAGGGCAGGCTTTCAGCCAGGAAATCAAGTGCTACGAAGGGCCGGACCCGGGACTGTTAGGCTAGCAGGCCCGACCGCCTACAGGTCCACGGTGGCAAGGCCGTTTCTGAGGAGGCGACTTGGAGGCCGAGCCCCGAAAGGGTGCTGCGGGGACCCTGCTCGCGGCCCCCAGTCGCGGCGCCTCTCAGTCCCCTGGCCGGGCCGAGCTCGGCGGAAAGGTCCGGGCCAGGGGCGGAGCCAGCTGGGCTGCGAGAGCCGGAAAGCGGAAGCCGAGTCCCGCGGCCCCGCGGCCGGCCCCGCTGCGGCAGCCAGCTCTGCGCCGGCTGAGTCACGGCCGGCCGGGCCCCGGAGCCCGAGCGCCGCCGTCCCGCCTACCCCGGGGCCCTGGGGCCCCTGCACCTGTGTCTTCCAGCCGGGCCCAAAGCCTTCTGCCGTTGCCGTAGCGACTGGCGGCCTAGCGAAGCTCCCCTTCACTTTTTAGCCCTTTCATCCCCCGGTTCAGTCAGTGCTCCTTGTCTGGTCAGCCCGGCGGCGCCGTGTCGGAGGCGGCAGACTGCCCTCCTCTGGGCGCTGGGCGGCGGACTGCCTGCGAGCCCCGGGCGGCCGCCGCGGTCTCCATGGTAACGGCGCCGCCGGCGTCGCCGCCTTTGGGGGGGAAAGAAGCCGCCCTCCAGGGGCCGGCAAACCTTCCCGCCGGGGCTTCACCGGCCGGGCGGGGGGCCCCCTGAAGGAAGGAAAGGTTCGGGGCCCCGGCCTGCGGGGCGGCGGGCGCCAGGTGAGAGGCGGCCGCCGGGCCGCGGAGGGGCGGCGAGGCCTGCTCCAGCGCCGTCCCCTGCCCTCCCCCTCGCCTGCCTCCTAAACACCCTCGCACCGACCATTGCAGAGGCTTCTTCGGTCGCCACTGCGCCAGTATTTTTTTTTTTTTTTTTTTTTTTGTCGCTGGCGAACAGCCGGAGAAAGAGATAGTCAGCAGCTCATGGAGAGGCTGAGAGGAGTCGGGAGAGTAGCCTTCAGCGACTGGCCTCACCCGCTGGTTTTCCTTCGTTTTCAGTGAAATCCCATTTTCTGGCTGGAGTCACAGATGGCCTCAAATGAGAGAGATGCTATATCGTGGTACCAAAAGAAGGTAATATCGGTATATATATATTGTTTATTTGTAAAGCGTATTTCCTGCAAAAAAAAAAAAAAAAAAAAAAAAAAGCTCCGCCAACGAGTATCGTGTTAGGAGTTTGCAAATGCCAGGACTCATATGTGATGTCTCAACATCAATGGAAAGAGGGATGTGCAGGGTCATTATGGCTTCTGACGCCGGTTTTGGGGCCCGCAGTAAGATTTTCGGGGACCCTTTGTCCAGCTTGCATCCACCAGCCACGGACATTTGCTTCTGATCAAACTTTTTCTTCCAAAGACGCGAATCGCTGATCTACGCCGCTCAGCTTGGGGTGCTCTGGTTTTCCCTGAGAAGTGGAAACCTCTTTTATGTTAATATGAACTTGCAATATTTTGAGTGATACTTTTTAGCTTACTTTTGGATCTAGCTATTGTAGAGTTTTGAAGGAAACAGCCCTTACAAGGGTTTAATTTATTTTAAATCGGAGAAGCACCAACATTTTCCAGTCATCACCTGGGTACTTAATAGGTTCGTGACTTTTGTGAAGCTTGACTGAAATATAAGGATTTCTTCTGCATTGTTTAAATAGCCTGCTCCCTGTTTCAGATTGGAGCATATGATCAGCAGATATGGGAAAAGTCAATCGAACAGACTCAGATTAAGGTAAATTGATTTGTCTGATTCTAGTTTTGTTTTGCTGTGTTAATATGAAGAGTGGGTTATACTTTTTTTTTAATTGTACTTTTTTCCACCAAGTATGGCATTGTTTAGTTTTTGGGGTTTATAAGGATAACAATAGTACAAGCATAATGGTAAATGACATCTGGCCACAGCATTGGGAAACGGAAGGGGTGGGCCTATGAAGTAGACAGCGAGTGGCCTGTGTAGATGGGGCAGTGATTAAACTTAGCTCTGGTCAGTTTTTACCATATAGCAAGTATTGGGCCGACTATTGGCAGAGGTTCAGAATTTTCAAGAGAAACTGGAAATAAATGTGAAATATCCAGACTCTAATAGGTGTTGATTGTCTTTTTCTTCCCTTGCCTCCCCTCCTTCTGTTCCTTATCACTGTGCAGCTCGAATAGAATCCATTCTTGACCTAACTCCATCCTGTGAGCCTGCAGTTTTTAAATCATGTGTTTAGGGTATGATCTTAATGTAAGGTTTGCAGGCTCTTAAATTTTTTTTTATACTGCCCTTAGAACTAAGCAGATTCTCAGGTTCTTAACTGTTGACCAAGCAACCAAAGACTGATGTGTAATGGAGAATGGCAGCTTATTAATTTATAATAGGAGAGGGGAGGTTTAAGTAACCTAATACTCCAGAGTCAGGACTCTGGGGTCAAGCTGTATGGGGGTGCTGGTGCAGATTAGCCACAGAATGGTTACTTGGTAGCAGGTGTCATTGGTAGCCCTGAGAGATGTGGGAAAGCCTAAAGAACAGTCACTGGTTCTTAAAAGAATGTTATCTCAGTATACTGACTTAGCACTTAAAGCTGCAGGGTCCTATTTCCTTGGAAAGTGTTGGGGTGGGGGGTGCGGAGAGGTAGAAAGAGAGGGAGGGAGGGAGAGAGGGAGAGAATGAATGAGAATCTTGCATTTGCTGGTTCATTCCTTAGCTGACTGCAACAGCCAGGGCTTGGCCATGTAGAAGTCAGGAGCCAGGAGCTTCATTTGGGTCTCCCTCGTGGGTGGCAGGGGCCCAAACACTTGAACCATGTTTCACTGCTTTTCCCAGTCCATTAGCAGGGAGCAGGGACTTGAACCAGTGCCCATATGGGATGCTGGCATTGCAGGCAGCAGCTTTGCCTGCTATGCCACAACACTGGCCCCTGGACTTCCTTTTTTAAAGATTTGTTGTGGACCATCTAGTAACAATTTAAAAACATATGGGTTAGTACATCTTACTATTTTATTCTATTTATCTATAAGTCACACTAGTTAGAATGGGACATTTGAATCTTTGTTGAAATGAATTTAACCAACACTTAGGGTGCATTGTTTTTATAGGCCAACCAGCCAGAAAGCTGTTTGAACTACCTGGTACTTTGCTAACTTTTCCCAGTATCGTACAATCCTTGATTATTTATATTAATGGGAATAGGATAGGATGCATAAATCTCCAAGTGTTATTTTGCGGCTCTCTAAATCCTGGCCTGTTATTCTCTTGTGAGCTATTAAACAGTATTGATAGTGAGTGTGGTATAATGGAAAGAGCATAGAATTCAGAATTAAATCTTGCTTGATGATCTCTAGCCTTGTGATCTTTTTTTTGAAAAAAAAAAAAAAAGCTTATTTTTGCCCACTTGAAAGGCAGAGTGACAGAGGGAGACAGCCAGACAGGGATCCTCCCTCTGCTGGTTTGCTCCTCAAGTGCCAGGGCTGCGCCAGGCTGAAGCCAGGAGCTCAGAACTCCATTTGAGTCTCCCACTTGGGTGGCAGGGCCTCAAGCACTTAAGGCACCGTCTGCTGCTTCCCCCAGGGTGCACGAGCAGGAAGCTGGACTGCGAGTGGAATGGCCAAGGCTGTGGTTGGCACTGTGATGGTGGGTGCAGGTGTCCCAAAGGGCAGCTTAACTGCCATGCCACAGTGCCCTCCCCTTATCCTTGTGATCTTAAAGAAGGTGCTGTGGTTTGTTTGGGTTTTGATTTCCTAATTCTTACCTACCTCCTGCCCCTAACCAGTTTAAAGATTTCTCAGCTCTTACTTCCATGCCACTTAGTACACACTAGCCGTGCACCGTATCAGTTATTTGTTGACCCGTGTGTGTTCATGGGCCTCAAAAACAGAATCGTGTTTGTATCTTTTAGAACATCCTTATTTGTCCTAGGAACTCTGTCTTGTCATATTTAATTGATCCCATCCATCGGGCATATTTTTACTTATTGTTCTCCCCTAAGGGTAATCTGCCTAACAATGCCTGCATGTGTGTGAACTTTTAAATTTATCAGCAGTGGAATGAGTGGAGAGAAAGACAACCATAAAAGGTTACAGAGCTAATGTGCCACACACGTACTAGATCCAAGAATATTGTTTAAAAGATAGATAATGGTTCTTGCTTTCAGGGGTTTCACAGTGTAATGGTGGTGGGAGAAAAGCCAGGATATCTCCTTAAATGTGTTTGGTTAGATTAAAAAAAATGACCAAAGTGAAGGATACAAAAAAAGTGTTTAATGCAATCTAAAAATAGATTAATAAAATATAAATATTTTTTGAAAACAAAAAACAAGGAAAGGGGTACATGTTTGGTGCAGTGCTTAAGTTGCCACTTGGGACACCCACATCGTGAATCAGGTACCTGGTTTGAGTCCAGGCGCTGTCTCTGATCCAGCTGTCTGCTAATGCACTGGGAAGGCACCGGATGATGGCCCAAGTACTTGGGTCCCTGCCACCCATGTGGGAGACCCCAGATAAGTTCCTGTCTTCAGCCTGGCCCTTCCCAGACTGTTGTGGGCATTTGGGGGTGAACCAGTAAGGAGATGGAAGATCTCTCTCTCTCCCTCTCTCTCTGTGTCTCTCTTTCAAATAAAATGAAAATAATTAAACAAAAACTTGAAAAATATAAACAAAGAGAAAAAGAAGGAAAAACAATTAATAATGTTAACATCATAGTACTATTATGTAAATAGCATACATAAAAGTATAATTCAAAATTATAAAAGACAAATTTTAAAATCTTACCCTGGATCATGAAAGGTAATATGAGCTCTTCACAAACATGGAGTTGATGTGGGTGCTGAGCAAAGATAAGAAGTGTTAGGAAACAGTGTAAGATTTAAGGTAAGAGCTGTATGTAGATGAAGTGATAAGCCATCAATGAATTTGAATATGACTTGACTACTAAGAACTTTAGACACTGTTATGTAGGAAGTGAAAAGATTTTGGTGCTCTTTGAGTGGCAGGGCCGCATCATGTCTGTGTTTTTGAAGGATAGAAATAAAAATACGTACACTATAACAAAATCTGTGGAGGGTTTCCAGAGTAATAATTGATGAATTTACATAACTATAAATGTCTACTAACAAAAAAAATGTCCAGGGATGTACATTTGGCTTAGTGGCTTAGACTTTGGTTAGAATACCCATGACTCAGGGCCGGCGCCGCGGCTCACTAGGCTAATCCTCCGCCTAGCGGCGCCGGCACACCGGGTTCTAGTCCCGGTCGGGGCGCCGGATTCTGTCCCGGTTGCCCCTCTTCCAGGCCAGCTCTCTGCTGTGGCCAGGGAGTGCAGTGGAGGATGGCCCAGGTGCTTGGGCCCTGCACCCCATGGGAGACCAGGAAAGGCACCTGGCTCCTGGCTCCTGCCATCGGATCAGCGCGGTGCGCCGGCCGCAGCGCGCCGGCCGCGGCGGCCATTGGAGGGTGAACCAACGGCAAAGGAAGACCTTTCTCTCTGTCTCTCTCTCTCACTGTCCACTCTGCCTGTCAAAAAAAAAAAAAAAAAAAAAAAAAAAAAGAATACCCATGACTCATATCAGAGTGCTGGGCTCCGGTCATGGCGCCACTCCTGATTCCAGCTTCCTGCTAACGTGCACCCTGGGAGGCAGCAGTGATTGGGTCCCCTTCACCCATGTGGCAGGCTGGTCTGGCCCAGTCTGATGCTGGCATTTGGGATACAGACTAGCAGATAGGAGCTCTGTCTCTGCTTCTCTGCCTCTTAATAATAATAATAATAATAATGATAAAAAAGTCTAGATTGATTCAGAAGAGTTAGAACGAATCAAATTAGTGTTGGAGACAATAGAGAAAGAAAGTAGTAATAAGAGTAAAGCAGGGAAGGGAATACCAGCAAAGTTAGTGAAAATAGCCATTATGTGTTCGTGTTTAACAAATGTGTGTTGAGAACCTGCCCACCCTGTGTCAGGCAGTGACTATGTCTATCTAATGATGAACAAAAAAATACTTAACATTTTTTATGGAGTTTGATAAAGTGGAAGAGAAACAATAATAAGATAATCTTAGTAATGGATAAAAATTATGTTAAGAGGAAGAGCTATTATTTACAAGCTTTTATACTTATTATTTTTGACAGGCAGAGTTAGACAGTGAGAGAGAGAGAGAGAGAGAGAGAGAGAGAAAGGTCTTCCTTTTTTTTCCCATTGGTTCACTCCCCAAATGGCTGCCACGGCCGGCACGCTGCACCGATCCGAAGCCAGGAGCCAGGTGCTTCCTCCTGGTCTCCCATGCAGGTGCAGGGTCCAAGCACTTGGGCCATCCTCCACTGCCCTCCTGGGCCACAGCAGAGAGCTGGACTGGAAGAGGAGCAACCGGGACAGAATCTGGTGCCCCAACCGGGACTAGAACCCGGTGTGCCGGCGCCGCAGGTGGAGGATTAGCCTAGTGAGCCACGGCGCTGGCCCCCAATTGGCCTTAATGGCTGGAGCTGTGCCAATCTGAAGCCAGGAGCCAGGAGCTTCTTCCGGGTCTCCTACGTGGGTGCAGGGGCCCAAGGACTTGGGCCATCCTCTACTGCTTTCCTAGGCCATAGCAGAGAGCTGGCTTGGAAGTGGAGCAACCGGGTCTTCAGGCCAGGGCATTAACGTGCTGCGCCACAGAGTTGGCCCCACTTATTTTTTTATTTTTTTAAAGATTTATTTATTTACTTGAAAGAGTTACACGGGGTGAGGGGGCGGGGGCGGGAGTCTTCCATCCGTTGGTTCACTT